TCCCTACTTCCACTTCTTAGTTCATGCTGGCCTGTCTTCTGAACATAATTTACTTCTACGGTATATGTACCAAGAATTAAGAATCTAAAGAAATTTTTTCAATCAATTATAGTCCATCCGATTTTATAGGCCACGAGAAAATGAACTTTTTGTGGGAATCASTGGGCAATTGAACATTCCTCAATACTGTTTATAAAGCCAAGCAAATTTCTAGTACTCATTGAGCCATCGCTACTGATCTGAACAWGTTCTACTGTATTTAACAGAAGATCCCCCTACTTCACTCCATTTAGTTTATGCTGTCTTGTCTTCTGAAACAGTGCAATTATGGTCTCTAGTTTCTTGGCTTAAAATAAGTTACTAAAACAATCTTTCACTCATGGTCTGGAGGCACACGTTTAGTTCCTAAAGCGGTCTGGCAACGCTGGTTCGAAAGTTGTTTGTGAACCGCCCTGCTATTCTCCTCAAAAGCTGCGGTACGTCTCACTTGTTACAACAACTCGTTTACCATGTTGCTCTTCGACTGTGCAAAGTTCTCTGCGTCTTTTGAGAATACGCTTGAGAGCAAACTTCTTTCTACGCTATTCTACGACTTGAAAAGACAAGAGTTTCAGTTTTTCGCCATTTTTTACATTCCATTCTCGTTTCGCATTGATTATTCACAGAGAGAATTCGCTGTAAAAAAATKTATTTCATTCCGTAAGGAACAGTGTGTCGACGTTAGCCAAAAACRGGTGGTATATTCTAAGTAGCGCTTTAAGTTTCTTTTCAAATTTATAGTTTTCTTTTTATAAGATGTTATAATGGAAAATAACTTGTGWCCTGTGGGTCTCACCAAAATTTCAAGAAAAAAGTTAGGTTACGAATTATTTCCTGTTAAAAAATAGTTTACAGAGTAAGCGACCTTGTTGTTGTTGCTGTGACGGTTGTCTAGTCCCCGGTAGGGTGGTAAGGTTCAGATAAGTTGCGAGTGAGGTCATTCAACGTCAAGCCCAATAAACGTGCTGTTTCGACGGTGTCAGCCCATATGACTTCAACAAATCTCAACCCACAGTACTTTCCAGATTCGTTTCGCGTCTGTACAACTTGATTCTACTGCTAGAATGCAATGTGACATGTAGACAACAACAATAATAATACATTATATACTTGCAATCTCTTTGAAGATAAATATAACTGCAGGTATATAAGGTAACATAGAGGAAAAAATAACTTTGATATACATATCTACCTATTATACCCACCTACCTACATTCATAAATATACTATACGTACGATGTATAGTTAGGTAGAAATACAAGAGCAAACAATATGTAGACACACGCTCGTATGTTGAACGATACGATCGCACGACAGCTAAAATAGCACACTTTATCGTAAACGAACTTCATTGCTGCTCCAGCGCGGAGCTAGGTGAGCGTCGGTATGAAGTAAATGCAAGCAGTTCAAGTTCCAAAAATAGCCTAGCAGCAAGTGGTTGATTATTAAAATAAATGGAAACCCATGTATRTGGAATGCGCGCCAGCACTCRTCGCTTGGCGACGACGATCGGCGCAATACCCTACAAATATGCTAATTGAAYGGAGTTGGCAGATGAGGAGTCGGTAGAAGCTAGCAAAGCATACAAAGAGCACGAGATAAATACCTACACAAGCGGGTATACATATACAATTTTATAGAGTCTACACTATAGACTATATAGACTAGAGGAAGTATGGTTTAGATTGCATTAAAATGAATGAGAAGAATGTGAAGCGTGTTTAAATTTAGCTTTCAGCAGTTTAATGACACAAACTAGCAGGAATTCAATTAGARTTTCACTTAATGCGGGTCACTGCACACTTGATGAGTTTGTATCGCTTGTAGATACCAAGTTATGCATTATATAAATGCTTTTTTGTGGTTTCTATAGAGATATTGTGTTGGAATTGAAGAAATTGTCGACAATTATTCTACAATCTAAATATAATTTATAGCTTAGTTGGAGAAAGAGGACAATTTTCGTAATTTATACTTCCATTGGCCACAGCCATCAGACTAAACCTAGTTACGACACCAATTTATTCCCAAAAAGGTGCAACCTCGTTGACTCATAAGCAGTTAGCAGAATCGACCAGCTTAAAAGTTAAACTGATTCTGAATTGATAGCCATAGCCATTTTGTTCTTTGCTCCACCCTAATTCTCTGCTGAGAAGACTCATTAATGACTTAAAAGCTTGATATGTATATCCGGAGATGAGCGTTTCTAATTACTAATAACACATATATTTTAGAATATATATAATTTTAGAATATTGCTCTGAATACGCTTATAATTTCACTTGGATCGCTTCTTCGATTATGTTTTTAGTCTTTTCTTTCTACTTTTAGGAAGTACAAAATCCCGAAACCCCTCTACTACTAATGGAAGGAACGCCTATTTGGGCTGCTGACAGTGTTAAGAAAATATAGCTCTTCGTAGAGAGGAAACGCTCATGGAAACTCAACATAGAGGAAAAAACCAAGGCAGTCATCAGCTTCAGGAAGGCATTGACAAGAAGTGTAGACACTCACCAATGGTAATTCTTGGGCTCTATGAAAATACGGCCTACGGGATGTTTTCATCAGTATTTGTGGTGCACTTTACGTCTCCAAAAATGCCCTCAACCTAAGAGACTTTGGTTACTTAGATGACTTCGAGTCTGGGCTCTCTGAAATTCTCGCACACTTTTATTTAATTTCAAAATACTTGGATTACCAATTCGACGAACTTAACTCTGGCTGTCGTTTTTCTACTCACATACCTTCGAGGGTGGCAAGGGAGGGAAGACTCGCTGGATTAGGAAGGCGATAAGCTTTTTTACTGATGAATCAAAGCTTGCGGTGAGGGTTGGTGAGGAGTACATTGTCGGGAACTTTCCAACAACTCCAATTTTAGTCTAGTCCCGACTACAGGACCCAGTGAAAGGATGCCTAGACAAGTTATCTCCAGCACTAAGTTACTTTTCGATTAGACAGGTTTGGGGACACAGAAAACTGTAAGGCTGATGAGTTTGCTAGGTCCCTATGGCCGGTAGTAAATCGGAGCCCATCGCTCCCAGCAAGGTTCATCTTACCGGATGCCAGCTACAGCAGCTATTTGGAAAAAGGTGATGTATAAATATTTCAAAGCTTCAGAATAGGGAAAAAAACACCTCGGATCTCATACACTTAGGCATCCAGATGAAAAGGAAAATAAAACATCTTGAGATTTGTAAACTAATATCGAACTACTTACTGGAGTTTTTCGTTTGGCTTCACAAAGGAGTGAACATAAGATTCTAAGTGTGATTTCTTCGCTATGCCGAGATATCAGCCGCGTCTTCCATATGTCAAACTATGGCGTTTTTATGTCAAATAATCAAATTAAAGCTGTCAAAAACTAACAATAATTGAGATTTTTGTAATCATCTTTGTCATTAAGTTGACATTATAATTTAATTTAATTTGCAATTTTAGCCAATCAAATGGATCTAAAATAACAATAATTTTCACTATTTATGAACATGGTTTTGCCAATAAAAGTTCCAAAAATAAATAATGATAAAACTCAACAATTGCCTTAATGAAACCAAACATAMAAAGACATATTTAAAAATAAACTTCAGACTTCCCTCGAGATATCCGTTCACATGTTGTGCCAAATAATATTTATTGCTACATTTTTTTTCAGTTTTTTTTTTTTATAAATATTTTACTCATTTCCCTCGTGCTTTCACACTTSTTTTTTCAGTTCACTGATTTTGAAACGTTGTGATCTAGCACCGTATTAAATTGTCAAGTAAGCAATTATTTACTTTTTTCATAATTCTTAACGCTACTTAGCTGTCACCTTTTGTTGTGGTATATACATATATTTTTCATGACAAATGAAACATTTACAATTATACGTGTACAGCGAGTACCGCTATATACCAATCGTTAGCAATTTTCATTTTTAATTAGTACTTACTTAAGTCATTTCAATTTTATTGCTGTCAGCAGAAGTTATAAATTTAAAATAAACACGCTTATTATATAAAGGTTGAATTGTTGTTGTTATAAATGTTATGCATACATATATATTTTATTGATATAGGGTAACGGTTATGCTGTAGGTGGAGCCAAAAAAAAAATATATATGTATAGTAAATTTTTAGGTTGATAGTGATTGTCATGAGGTCATTGTCATTTATATGGACTGATTTAGACGAAATCGGKAAAAGTGACATTTTTAGGTTAGATTCGAAAAATTTTGTTTTTATTCGAAATTGTTTCCAAATTTATTTCAATTCTTATCTACTAGTCYATATAGATTTCCTCACATCAGTCAGAATTATTCCTGGTTTTTGGTGCTAGAGCTATTTGGGCCGGATGTTTGGCCACCAGGATCGTGTGATATCACACCGCTCGATTCAGATCTTCTCGTGTCATTCGAAATGCTCTAACAAGTCAACGAATATTGTGCTCAAGGGATGMACCATCTGAGACATAGCCGCCGCCATCATTTGAGAGAGATAATTTCAAAATAAAATGCCAAAGAATGTTTTTTCGAATGAACAWTCCTCATTAAATTCGAAGTTGCTGTATTTTTCTTTAAAGAAATGTAACCACTCTCAAAATGGATCACCTTTTACATAGTCTATAGCACAACCAATATTAACGCTGCTCGATCGATATTTTTAACATTTAGAAACTACAAAGGTTCTCAAGGCAGTTGTCACTCGAAGGATCAAATCCAAAACTTGCGGAATGGTTAGTCTACTTATTAGAATCCAAAATCTGGATGCCATGACATACATAACGAATTAAACTCTAGATGTACCAGGGATCTAATCTTTTTTTAAGAGCAATAAGGACTGTTTTAATCCAAAGCAATTCAACACATTCTCTCCTAAAGATGAAAAATGAAACTTATCTTGTGCTAAGACGCCAAATAGAACACCAACTTAACACCAGAACACTAAAACCTTTAGCCATGCTGAGCAATGATAAAACTGAAATTTCTCGTTAAAAAATCATAATTTTTTTTTATTATTTGTTCGCCTAAAATGATTTATAAATACAACTAAATGACTAATTCCACTTGTACTCCCTCCAATTCGCAAGTTATCGCAAGTCCATGGCTAATTCAAGATTCACATCGTTTCCTCAATATTGATAGAATTGTGGGTTGTARCCCACACCAGCGTAGCCAGATGGAATAGGAGCCACATAGGTTGGGATGGGCGCTGAGTASGCACCGGCTGAGCCGTAGGATGGAGCAGCAGCTGGGGCGGAACAAGCGACTGGCGCCAAGTTAGGTTGACAGCTGAAAAGGTAGTTCTTTGGGCAAGGAGGWGCTGGAATGCTAGCGGCGGCGCCACCACCATAAGCCGCTTTACGGAAACGGCTCAATTCGTAGGCACCTTGTACACCTTGTTGTTCGGCTTCGGCCTCCTGAACACCGGATACAGCAGTAGCAGCCAATGCAACGCTGAAGATAGCGGCGAAGAGAGCAATGCAAACGAAGGATTTCATTGTGAATGATTTGAGTTGTTTTGGGTTCTTGTAATAACTTGAACTGTGAAGCTACCGAAGTGAACTGATGATTGCAGTTAGCAAGCAATGGATCTTATATACCCAAGAAATGCAATTGGCTATATTGGCTCTGCTTTCGGCGTTCTGGAACTCGTTCAATTTGTTTACGGGTCAGTTCTACTTATTTTTGCTAGTATTAGCGAAAATCCAAGAAGTTTGCATAATTTTTTGTAATAAAAATTGTTGCTTTCAATACATTTTGCCTCGCTGTTAACTACGACGCGAATATGAGTTCGTAGCGAAGGTTCATCCGGTTCACATAAAAAACTGATTCCGCAATTTTTTATGCACTGAGTGCATTCACATTCGGAAGAGTCTTTTWCTTTTATTCTAGGTAACATTATTATGGTGTCAATGCCTTGACATTTATTTTGGCATAATTATTTTTGGCTGGCGAAATAAGCCATTTTTTTATACCTTTCACATGAATGAATAAATGAATTTGCGTTTTTTTATGAGAAYATTGTAGAACAATGGCGGTAAAGCGTTAGCGATATGAGAAATATTTTTATTGCACAAGAGGACTGGAGTACGTTTTGATTCATGCCTCTGGCAAAACTTGAGGATCCAAAATAGTTATTAGATCTAATTTAGCGAGCGTGAACTTTAAGAGTTTGTTCCCTCAGCTGACGGTCGGTCCATATTTTATTCAACGATGATGCATTTTTGGCTCAATAAGAAAGCGAATTTGCCGCATTTGGAACGAGGAGCGACATAAGCGAAGAGCGATTATCAAGAGCTACCATTTCATACAGAAAAAACAACGGTTTGGTGTGRTGGCATCARTTATTGGTTTTTCTGAGAGAACAYTTTGGTGAGCAGATAATTWCACGTTTTGAGWSGGTYGKTTGGCCRCCACYACCGTTAGACWTTTTCCTGTGGAGATGCGTAAAGYCTAAAGTCTATACGAACAATTCCGCTTCGATTCAGGCGTTGGAGSAAAACATCACCCACGTCATTTGCTAATTACCAGTCGAAATGCTCGAATGAGTCATCGAAAATTGGACTCAACGGATGGACCATCTGAGACATGGCCGCGACAACATTTAAAAAAGATAATCTTCAAAAAATATATGCCAAGGAATATTTCTTCGAATGATAATAAACAATTTCCCTTAAATTTGAAGTTTCTGAGTTTTTTCTTTATAAAATTAGGGAATCCCGAGAAGGATCACCTTCTACATATTTGTGTAAGAGAGCGGGTTTGAACTGTCATTTTTTCGAAACWTATTGATGACGAATACTTGATTATTTACATTCATATAGTTAGCACCTAGCAATAACTAATTTCATCTAATTTGTTCAAGAATAAACTACTCTAACCTCCGAAYTTTTGCAACAAAATTTTTCACTCTTACAAATAAACATACCGTTATAATAATAGCAATACGCACGAAAATACTTATGATATATTTATATAAATTACGTCAAACATTAGAGACTACTACTCACATTTTGCACACAATTGAAATTCCACAGGTCACAGCAGGAGAATGAAAAGCCAGAGGTGTTGAGTGGTGAGTGGAGAGTATACAAACAGTCACCGATGAGTTGAAAGTGAATGCGTTGCGAGTAATTTAAAGAGCGCACACACTAAATCACGATTTTTTTCGAAGCACCTTTCGTAGACACAAAGCGATTATTGTTAAGTGAGTAAGGTGGAACCGCAAGTTGCCGGAATGAATCACTTTTTATTTAGCWCGAGATCGCTGCAAAATCACTACAACTTGCAACAACACACGAAAATAGATGCRTTTGAATGTATGTACACTTCGTTTTGGATTTATATTCAATTGATTTTTTGTTGTTTTTCATACACTTCTCTATATGTAGATTTAGTATTTTCAAAAATAAAAAAGCCAAAGTTGTTCACTAGCTCTTTTCGCTTTTCTTTTTATGGTAATTTCTCACAGTTGCGACAGCGCGCTGCCGAAAGTGAAAGCGTGCATAGATTTTAGCGCGCGAGACGGACACAACTGCAGCGGCGTGGTGTCACACATGTGCGGGAGGTCACTTCATCGAACACAAAGCAAGAAAAAAAAGCAACTTTTTTCAGTTTTTATCAAGCATGATGTGGACGTTCTGCSAAAAGATAAAAAGTCGGTAAATTAAAAATAACAACAACAAAAACAGAAGCAAAAAAGAAAACGTRAAACTAAGTCAAAAGAATGCTGCTGTGCAAGAAGCGGCGAGAAAACATGTGATTGTGTCAGCCGGTGAACGCTGCCGAGTGCTTATTGTAGCTGCAAGCAACAACAAACGAAGTGCACACACACATACGGACGATTACATTGTTGCACTTGACATGCACAATTGAGTGGAGACGAACAACGACCGGCGAGTGAGCTGTCAACGTCGGCTGGTCGTTTAGGCAGTTGGGCGATCGGGTGGTTAGGGCGCTGACGCTGCCACAGCGTGGGTGAATGCACCGCAGCAGCCGCAACACTTTCAGTAAATGAACATACATATGTATACAAATATGTGTGTGTTTGTGAGGAGGGTGCGCTTTTGCGGCAAAACAGTTACCAATCCGCTATGTGCTGCTCGGCTAGAAAAACAAAAGCCACAAGTCGGTGCAGCCGGTGCTGCAACAACAGGAAATGCAAAATTAGAAGAATGCAGCAGAATTGTTTTATATTTTATTATTTTGTTATTTATWTTTTCGAGTTATTATTAATTTGCTCATCGTTTTTGTTGTTGCATTTTTGTAAATAAAAATATTTTTTATGCACTCAAGTGGTTGTTGCTTTATGCACTTGTCTTTCAGCGCGGCCGTTTTTTACGTAGTCTGCGCCTTCACACACACGCATATGTGCATGTTTGAGTGTATATGAGTGCACGTGTGTATGTATGTATGTGTATATGGGCATATTTGGACGTTGATTTGCTTGCGCTTGGAAATAACAGCCGCGCCTCATTAAGCTRCGCCGACTTTTTGATGACTTGCTTTACACTTCATTTATTCTTTCGCATTTATTACTTTATCTCATTTTCTTGTATTTTATTATTTTCTTCTATTTTCGTTTTATTATTTTATATTCTTGTTTTTTTATTATTTTATTTTATTTTCTTTTCTTTTTATTACTTTATTTGCATTTATTTATATTTTGCTTTGTCACCGCTTTCCGTTGTTCCACGGCGTTCGCGCTCACGCCACTCAATGAATAACAAGATCGGCTGCGGCGCTTACGTTGCCGTCACTACTACCAGGGACGTGGAGTGTGTGATAGCACAAAAATACATTTCATTTACGTTGTCGCCCGCCAGCGTTTGGCTTGTTTGCTATTTGGCTATTTTTAGCTTTTTATTGCATGGATTTTTATTTATGTAAGTCTAGCTTAAAATTTATTTTTCTTGTCAATGTTGTTGCGATAGTTGCTGTAGTTGAAGATGGAGCCGATGTTGTTTGCTCAGCAAACATATGTATGTATGTATGTATGTATGTATGTATGTTTGCCTAGTTATCTATGTACATATGCATTTATGTGGATGTGTATGTTGCTGGAGCTTAAGCTTTGTATTTTGATTTGATAATCTAATTCACAGCCGCAGACGTTAGTACGCACACACACACTAAAAATAAATATRCTTATTCACAAAACGAATTCTCAAGCGTGTGCGCAATAGCTTTGCGGTCACTGAATTTATTTACAATGAGACGCCGCAAAAGACAATGGCAGTTTTTAAAGTCGTTTATGAACAGACAGAC